AAAATTAGATTTTTAATATTTTTTTAAGCCCTTTTCGGTGTAGTTAAGATTAGATTTTTAGTTAACTTTAATGAAAGTTGATGAAATGTATGGTTGAAAAGTTGTGAATCGCATCATAGTTAAAATTAATTATTGACTTTAATTTAGATTCTAAAAGTGATTTTTTGGAAAATATTTTGTTAAAAGTATGTAATATAATAAATAAACAAATTATTTAAATCATACATTATTCTAAGATTTAGGTGCCTATATTGCATGATAATTAATTAACCATGTTAGGAGGGTAATTTAGTAAATATGTAATGACAGTAAACTGTGTTTTTAGTTTGTACTTCACTTGCAGGAGTCACTTATTGAGAGCCTGTTTGGTAGGGATTTTTGGGGGAAGAATTGATTTTGAATAGTGATATGATAGAAAATGTGTGGTTGAAAAAGAAGAAAAAAGTATTAATGTGATGAAAAATATTATTTTATTGAATTGGGGGAAGAATTGATTTTGAATAGTGATATGATGGGAAATGTGTGGTTGAAAAAGAAGAAAAAAGTATTGATGTGATGGAAAATATTATTTTATTGAAGAATGTGTGGGTGAAAATGAGAATTGATTTGAGAATTGATTTGAGAATCAGAAACAAACAGGGCCTGAAATTATAATAACCATAATTTTGTTAATTACACTATATTTTAATTATAATAAACGTTTTTAAGCTTTACTCATTTTTACACTTGCGTCCTCGACTTTTTTTTTTGTCACATTTTTACCATCAACTTTCTATTAGTTTGCACGTAATGTCTCCTATGATGGTTTCCATCCAAAAAATTCATTCAAAATGTGTCAAAAGACTCATTTGCTTCTCATAATCTTAAATAAAAAATATCAAAGTTTAACAAAATATTCAATATGCGCAGTGGAGAAAATTAGGGATACGAGTGCAAAAATAAACAAAAATTGAGGATCTTAGCTAAAATTAAAATGTTGTGCAAATAACAGAAATCGTTTGCCAGTTGGTGTATAGAAGATGAACTTGGCTGAAAGATGTATAGAAGACATAATTCAAAAAAAATAAAAATAAAGTATTTCCTTAGCTTACAAATTAAACTTTTAACGGTTCAACGATAACTTGTATACAATAATCACTCTCCTAATTTACTGTTTTCAAGTGTTCTCCTCATATTCAAACTAGAAAACTACGTGTAATCTTTTGATAGTATCCAAGTACTAATCCTGCACTATCGCCTTTGGAAATTGAATACCTTGATGCAAAAGGCAAATGTGAAAACAAATAGAATTGTGAATCCAACAATGACAACTGCAACTACTTCGAGAAACTCATGTCTGAATCCATAGAAACTTCTCAAGAATTCTTTCACCGTTTGCTGTATGTCAAGCATGTCCTCTATATCACCAAACTGTGACACAAGTAGGCCATATAATGTCCAAGAAAGAGGACATGTCCAATAGTACCATCTCCACCACACGGGAATCCTCTGTTATCAACAAAATAGAGCAATTAAAAAACAATTATATGTTGACCTAGGTCTCCAATCTATTTCTTGACTTGCAAGTTTCCCAATCTTTCAATATAGTTGCACAACTAGTCTCCAATAACGGTAAGTGTTCAAAAGTCGGGTGAATTATGTTCCTCACATGAGCAACTTTGAAAAGGGTAAAACTGTAAGAGTTTTGCCTTAAATTGAATGGACACAGATACGCGACTTGGATACATGATTTTTCTAAAAAGTAGGCCACATACACGTTGAATACACGTGGATTTAAATTTTTAAAAATTTTAAATTTATATATTGTTTCTCTTATTTCTATACTCAAGGTATAGGACACGGCATATTCAATGTTGAGAGCTAGAAATTTAAAATATACAAAAAAATATGACACGACATTATAACTTGTCAAATCCATGTCATGGAGTGTCAGTATCCGATATACACAGTAGGAGTGTCCATGCACCATAGGAGTGCCCTTCATAAAGTTAGCCATATTAGGATCGCATGATGATTTAATGGAGTTTAGAGTTTTGGACGATATCCACCGCTGGAGACTGGTTGTGCAACTATACTAGGTTGGGGTCAATTTGTAACTTATACAACAGGTTGGAGATCTACTATGCAACTTTCCCATATTTGTGTGTACATATGCTGTAAGTACTTTTTTTTGTGAGGAAAATGGTTTTTAAAGAACTTACTGTCCGAGGAACGATGAATCCTGAAAAGATGTTCCATATCCCGAAGAAGGCTAAAGAGATTATGCTACCGACATGTTGATTAGGTGACATGGCCACTGTCATCATGCCGTAAAAGGTGAAATATAATAGTGTGAAGTACATGAAAAATAAGTACCACAAGAACTTTGCAGCCGTCCATTCAAATCCGATCATTGCATAGCCAATAACACTGTACACTGCAGCTTGCACGAATATGTATGGAAGTTCAATTGTAACCTACAATAGGGGAGAAAACATTATAAACTTGTCCAATAAGTTATAGAGAACTGCTACATTTAAAGCCCTCCTACATGTATAATTTACAGCTCTTAATGACTGTACAAGTGCATTGTTCCTAAGTTTTGGAATAGTGATTTTTTTTTAAGAATGTATGGTTAAAAAAGAAAGAAAAATTTTGAATTTACGTGTAATATTATTTTATTGTAGAATGTGATTAAAATGAGGAGAGAAATAAATATTAAATTATAATGGAGGCCAAACAGGGGCTAATTGTTGTAGTTTGAGATGGCTTGCTAGAAACCTGTGCAAAGGCATATGGCAAAGCTGAATACATTCCAGCGGCTCTTTCTCTATAAAAGACAGTTCGCTCAACAGAAATCACTGGCTGCACAGTAGTGGCATTGTTGATCCCTAGGAATAGGATTGATGCATACATAGAACCCATCGCATTGAATATATCTTGTACTGTACTCCTAAAATAGCAAGAAGATTACGTTTGAGTTGATGAAAGAACAAAAGTGCATGCATGCTTAGAATAAAATACTCAACATTATGTACATGTTTAGTATGACGGATGGTCGGATGGACATTACTCGACACTGGACTGTATAATATTAAGGAAGAAAAAGAAGTTAAAATCTTGTCCATAGTTTTGTACAGTTTAGTTCATTACTGCAAACCAAAGATGCAATTTTTTTATTTTATTTTGTTTTTTTTTTCCCATTTACCTCTTTGAGCCGAGATCCCAGAACATAGTACCGAACATCAAAGATATGATGATCGTGTACGATAATCTCACTGCAGTGTATGGTGGATTTCGCCAATATGACCATTGTTGTTTAAATAGGCAAGCAATGCACTGAATGAGGAAAGGCTGTGCGTACTGACTAGGAAAATATAGATCTGTCATTCCGGGCCGTGGTGTACTTAGTTCATTGATCTGAGATTTGTTCCTCCTGAAAAGTTCCATATGTAAGTGCAACCTTTGACAGCAATTCACATGAAATATTTGCTCAAGCCACGTCTAGCTAGGATTAAAAGATTCAGTCATAAAGTAAATTTACCGAAGTTTTAAAATGAATCGTTCTTTTATTGGTCAAATTCGAAAATAAGCAAGTTATTTTTTAAAGTTTGGTAAGAACTATTTTGAAGTTAAGAAACCTTTTTCTACTTAGAACCAAGAAAACATACAGTTATCCAAACATATTTGAAAAAAAAAAAAATTTATTTGAATGTAACTTTGTTTTTTCATTTATCTTTTTTAAGCTTAGCCCTTACATTTTCTCGTGCATCAGGTATCTATCTGTTCAGTGAATAAAGTCATGAACTGACCTGTATAATTCCGAGTTCTTATACACTTCACTAAAATCAACTCCCAAGGCCGTTTCCTGTGCCAAAGAAGTAACTTCCAACATCCAAGTTGCTGGATTGTGACCATTTTTGGTTTTGCTCA